CCTGTCCCTCATTGATGGATCATCTGAACTTTATGAGGTCATCAGTTCCCCTGCTCTGACACCATGGGCTCTTGGCCAGCCCCCAAGGAGGGAGACTGAAGCATCCACACTCCTCAGCCTGGACACCTGCTCCTACCCATTCCAGGGGAACACAGACATCTCATCCATTGCTGTCGCTTCAGAGCGAGCTGTTCTTGTGAAAACTGCTCATGTTTGTCAGGAAGAACTCTTAGGTGAGTATGCAAATCCAAGTGGATACCAGTTCCCAAAGGTGTCTTGGCCCTGAGTGTGCAGCCCCGCCCCCTGGCCGAAGGAGCCACTCCCCGTGTACGCAGCCCGGCCCCGCCTCCGTGCCCCCCTCGGCCACGCCCCTGCCCCGGCCGCCGACCCGCCCCTTGATCAGGCCAGCAGTCAGGCAAGAGGCAGTTTTTCCCAGCTTCCCCGGGCTCTTCTGAGAGGCGCTGTCCCTCCTCAGCCTGCCAGCGGCGGCGGCTGTACAGGAGCGGCGAGGTCCCTTTGGCAGTCGCAGCTTGAGCCGAGCGGCGGCGGAGGGGCCAGCCCAGCGCGTTGGCGGCGCCGGTGGCGTCCGCGTCGGTTTCCATGGAGGCGGCAGCGGCGGTTGCGGTTGCGGCGTCGCGGCTGCAGCTGCGGCAGCGGCGGCAATGACGACGGAACGGAACAGGGTCTCCGACATGGTCCGCGGGCAGGCGTGCGACGTGGGGCCGCCCTACAGCAAACTCTGGTACATCGGGGAATGCTCCTGTGTCGTGATGTCATGATTTTCCGCACCCCGTGTGCCGGCCGCGCACCCCCGCGCAGCTTCTCACTCGACCTAGGCGTTCACAGCCGCGGCCTTGGCCTAGGACCCTCGACCCTGATTCCAGCGCAGACCCCGACCCCCGCCAAGCTGCCCAGTTTTCTGCGCGTCCGGAGTCTGGGGCAGGTCCTGGCCGCTCTTGCTGTGGCTTTGCTCCTGCAGCTTCCAGGTCGGCCCTCGCTCAGCGCGGGGAGTCGGGGAGGGGCTCAGGGCGTTTGGGCCACGGCCCGGTGGGGCCCTTCGTGACCCCCAAGAAGGGAACTTGAGCCCCCGCCCCAGGGTGCACCCCTCGCGGCCTTCCCTTGACCACCCCGAGTGAAGCCGCCAATTCCTTCAGATGTTCAAAACGGTTGCGTCCATGGTCGGGAAATGGGTTGGCAGGGGCGTGTGTGCAGAAAGCCGGAATCATCGTCTCGTTTAGGCCCCTCACCTGTGTTTCCCGCTGACGGCTTAGCTTCAGCACCTTCCGCGGTGCCAGTGGTGCTCTCCTGTGTAAGCTTTCTACAAAGCATGAAGTGGCAGCAGTGTTGGTGTGGAAAGTTTCAAACGCGGAGTTTCCAAGTGAATTCGGCTATGGTACTGTTCGCGCTTCTGGAAGGGTAAGTCAACATCCCTGTCTTGATTCCTTCAAGTGTCATTTGGTTTTCCACCTAAGTTGATGCTCCCCCCGCCACCGCCCCTTTTTGAGCCCGACTGAGCTTTCCTACTAGCAGATAGGCATCTAGTTGTCTTAGCGCAATGACTGCGGGCTTTTCCTTCTAAGGCTTTAGCACTCAGTGTGTATGCAGCCCAGATGGAGTTCTTGGAGAAGCAAGTGCAGGCTCCCGGTGCTCGCTTGAGATCCCTCAGAATCTTCCCTGGAATCGGGGTAACGGTGTTGCTATTTAGTTATTTTTTTCAAGTAGATCCAACCACCTTTTGTCTTTTGCGCTTACGGAGACTTGTAGAGCTGTAGGCTCCCTTACACCTCAGCCTTCATGGGTGTGTGTCTTTTTTTTGAATGGAGGGAGCAAACCATTTCAGATACTTAGCTAGGTATGTTATCTCATGTTACCTGAAAAGCCACCTGCAGAGAGGGAAAGGCAGAGACAGCTGTCTTTCAGATGAGAAGCTGTTTCATGGTGAAGCTAGTACTTATTGTCGCCCAAATAGTCGGGCTTGAGATTGCAGCCTGAGATCTTGTTCTGGTTGCTGGAGCCCTTTCCATTGCTCCCTGTTTTCCTTCATTAGTGTTGGGAATAATTTTGGAATTTTAGCCCCTTTTACCCTTACAAGCAAATTTATTTCAGAAACATATTGAACTTTGAACGGTCAAAATTTGAGAAATGCATTGAGGGAATATTTTTCCATGTGTGTTTTGTAAGTACGAAGTTAATACAAAATGTGTAAGAAGAAATTCTTGAATATTTCCTTCCAGTTCAGGAGCAAATTTTTGTGAATGAATGAATGGACATGAGAACCATTTTAAGTGAAATTATACAGACATTAATTACCACATGTTGTACGAATCCATTTAATTGGAAGTCAGGAATATGCAAATCAGGATTTCATATAAATGAAATCAATCCCAATGTACAGGTTAGTGGCTGTTTGTTTTCTCTCAGTACTGTTTTTGAGTGCTACAACTTTTTTATATCTATATGACATTCAAGCTGTTCATATTGCTGAATATGCCATGCATTCATTCTGTATGTAGGGCATGTAAGAGTGTGTCACAAACTATGTATTTATCCCTTCTTTTAATACTAGATATTTGTGTTAGTACCATTTGCGTTACTATAAATTCACAGTTTGTTTATTTATGCATGCATCTTTTTTGTAATTATCTGATGTCATTCACCATATGTGAAAAATATTTGCCAGCAGTAATATTGGGTCGATGTGTCTTAAATACACCTTGAGTGCCTTTTAAGTATTTCCTTTTTTATTACCTTGGTTTCTTTTGGTTTTTGTGAGTCTATTGTGTGGTTTTGGTCTGTGGTCACCCTGTTTCTCAAATACATTAACCCATTTCTCTCTCTGTTGTCTTTAAACAGATTATCATATAATCTCAAACACATCCTCAATAGAACAGAAACAAATCTCTATTTTCCTGCTTCCCTCTCCCATCCTTAATGATTTTCATGCCGTGTTTTTCATCTTCATGCTTATTCTCTTGCAACTTCTTGCCGTTATTGCCTTTCCAATAATGGTTTTCTCATTTCTAGATCATCCTGCTTCTTTCCTCATCAGGGTCTAAAATTCTCAATCTTTCTTGCAGGATATGTTTATTATTGCAGAATTCTTTCTATGTTTGCTTGTCTGTGAAACCCTTGATCTCTCCTGTTATTCTAAAGGATTGTCTTGTGGCATAGGTTATGCTAGGTTGCACGTTCTTCTCATTCAGGGATTTGACTCTCTCTATGAAATCCCTCCTTGGCCTGCAAAGTTTGTATTGAAAAATCTGCTGAATGCCTGATGGAGGTTCTCTTGTGACTCACTTGTTTTAATTTTGGTGCACTTACAATCATTTCTTTATCATGAAATTGGGTCCTTTTCATGACAGCATGTCTTTTTGTAGGTCTCTTGGTGTTTATCTTCTTTGGGTCCCACTGTGTTTCCTGTATTGGGAGAGCTGATTCTTTCTTCAGTTTAGGAAATGTTCAGTCTAATTTCTTCAGTCCCCTTTTCCAAATCCTTTTCTCTTTCTTTTCCATCTGGGACCCCTATATTTCATAGAATGGCATACTTCTTATTATCCCAGGTTTGAAATGCATGGCTTCCATTAGTTTTCACTTGCTTCTCTATGTCACATTCTGATTGTGTGATTTCCCTTATCCTTTGTTCTGAGACAATTCTTTGTTCCTCTGCATTTTCTAGTCTGATTTGACCGTTTTTAGCAAGGCAGTTACCTCATCCATTGCATTTCCTGGTAATATTTGGCTCCTCTTTAGAGTTGCTGTTTTCATTTTATAGTATTCTGCATTTTTATTCATAGCCTTTCTTGTTCCTTCAGTGTTTTTCTCACCTCCTTTTTCAAGTAAGGTTCTTTTGGAGTTTTGGTTCTAATTCATTGCTCATTCTTTAAGGGGCTTTCTCTCTTTTTTAATCAGGGATGGTTCTTCTTTTGCATTTGATTACATCTCTATGTCTCTCTGGCTTAAAGATCATCAGTTATCTCTTTCAGAGTTGAAGGGCATGTTTGAAGTGTCAGCTTTTCTATCTATGTCATGCACAGTTCCTAATATTGCCGTTAGGACTGCTTTGGGTATGGATTGATGCTTCTGTGAGCATTGCCTCTTGTTTCTTTGATTGCCTGCATAATTTTGTGATGGTCACTCACTCTTGTCATTTAGCAGAGCCTCGTTTTGGCTAGGTGTTTATCACAGCTTTGACTGTGTCAGAGCCTACTCCTTTTTGGCTGGAATTGTGGCTACCAAGCATTCTCTGGGCTGCAGTATGTGATCTGTGGAGTTGGACATTTTCCAATACTCTTTCTTGACAGTGCCCTTACCCTTGCTTTCGCCACGGGAAGGTCAGCACCCTACTCTGGTGACCCACAGGTTCTCTGGCCACACAACCACCAGTGAAAACAGTCTAATAAAATCAGGCCCTAAGGCCTGGTGCAATCACCCTGCAGTCCCTCATCTGGATCATCAGGGAAGTACCAGGTCAGCATCATCCCCATTTGTTGCATTTTCCTGTTAAGCAAGCCTGATGGAAAGTCTTCCCCTTCCCCTGCTGTGCACAAGCACCCTGCTCCTTGTTCTCTCCTCTGAGATGTGAGGGACCACAAAGACAACAGCAGAGCAAATCCACACCCTCTGTCTGGGACTCCAAACCTTATCTCAGTCCTGCTGATGAAGTTGCAGATTATCTGGCTCTGGATTCTACTTTTCCCCATCTTCCCCCAGAACACTTGAAGCAGAATGATGACAGATGTTTGAGCCCTCCTTCTCCTCTATTCAGAAAATGTCACATTGAGCCCGGGACCAGCACAGACAGTAGCTATGGCCATAGGATACCTAGATATTCACCATCAGGCCCACGAGGAGTGTTGGTTTTTGATCTGCGGTTACCAGCAGTTCTGTTCTGTACAGAGCACCATCTACAGCCAACAGCGTACTCCAACCAGTTAGACTGCTTCTGTGCCATCAGCCTTAGCCTTCTCACTCAGCTTTAGCAGCCATTCCTAGCTCACCATTGCCAGCTCGAGTCAAGTTCTCGGGATGGATTTCTGGCCTATATTGTGCTGGTCCCTTTCACTTCTCACAGCTAAGCATCTGCTGTGCACTCCTCTCAGCCTCAAGGGATCCCCTTCGATCCCTGCTATCTTGTCCATTACATGTTTCCCAGTAAAAGAGCATCTCCCATTTTGCTGTCCCCGACCCCCACCAAATATCAGGGCCTGCACTGTTTGATGTTCTACTTGTCTATTTTCTCCTACCAGATTTTGTCAGGACTCTTTCTGTCTTTTGAAATAAGAGATGTTCCACCAACGATCAGCAGGTATCTTGAGCAAATGTGTGGGTAAGTGGATACATATCTTGTTGTATACATGGGACTGGGTGAGCTAGAAGTCCACTTACACTCCAACATCTGGGCACTGATAAATCGACACTATTTTTTTAAGATATCAATCACAGAATTGTGCTTCTTGTTTAGACGTCTGTTTAGGGCATCCATAGTGGGAGAGAGGGTCAGAAGACTCCAGGTTTGCCATTGTGTTGATATCATACTTGCAGCCTTCGAAATGATTTATAGATTGAATTAGATATTATGAGGTTTGTATCCAAATAAAATCATTTCTTAAACCATCTAAATCTAATTACAAACCACTGTTGCCAATGTTGGGTACCAGCTTGTCAAGTCTATAGGTACAAAAACAGTGAATTGATAAATCAGCAGCTGACTACTGTGATGAAGAAAACAGTTTACCCAGGTTCAATTGGTGCATTGGACTCACCAATTAGAACCATGAAATAACACCTGGGCTTCCATAGTGCGTGTGGTGCATATTTGTCCCATTGAGACCTCCTGAGCTCTGGTTGGTGAATCAATGGGCAACAATTTGCTTGAGAAATACCCAAGGAAACCCAAAGAACACATTTCTATTTAGACTTATTGCAAAAAACATCTAGATCCATGATAACTAGGAGAACAATGCTGCCTATTTTGGATGATACTGAGAAGCAGGAGCTCTTATATCAATGGTGGATTGTTTCAATGGTACTTACGCATTTGAAAAATTAATTTAAGCCTACAAATTCTACCCCTAGATATCCTGCACCCAGGATTCTACTTAAGGGGAAAGAAGTTCCATATAAATGTGTCCATAAATGCTTCTGGTAGCTTTTACAGTTCACTTTTGGACTGATGTGTAATAGTTACCCATACTGTCTTGATACGTGTATGCATATACAATTTGCATATCCATGTTGATGTTAAATAACACTCATATATGTAGTAAATGATTTTATTTTTACTGTGGAAAGTGGATGGGAATGGATAAGTTGGGGAGTTTGATATTTGAAAATATTAACCACTGTATATAAAAAAAGATTAAAAAACAATCTTCTTCTCTATAGCATAGGGAACTATATTCAAAATCTTCTGATAAACTTTATTGAAAAAAATTATGAAACAATTATGTATTTATGTATTCATGACTAGGACTTTGTGCTGTACACCAGAAATTGACACATTGTAACTGACTACACTTTAAAAAATAAACAAATAAATAACATTAAAATTGTTATTCTGGTGATTCCTTTTATTCACCCTACCCTAAATATCATTTTATATGCAAGAAAATCAGCTCCCTACTTTCTCACCACCGCTTAGGATGCTTGCCTCTAATCACTTCATAATTGGAAATTAAAGTGATCCCAATTTTCCCAAGATGGGAAGTGGGAGGAGAATGAGGAGGAGGAGGAGAATTATTTAGTGGTGATCAACTATTCATTAACACTACTTGGAACCAAATAAATAAAGCCTGGGCTTTATTTTTGCTGATATATCTTGATTTTTAAAAATTGTACATTGATAAATTCTTCAAATAATTCCTTAAGAATGAATGGATTCAGAATTGCCTGTGTAAAATATTTTTATTGAAGAGGGTTAACAAAATTAACATGGTTTCTATCCCTTCATTAAAAAGAAAGAATAATTTCAAAATGTTATCTCTAGAGCAAATTATGTATTTCACTTTCTACTATCAATAAAAAATAATGTTCTCCAGGGATTGGAACACTCCTATAAAGCAGGCTGTATTATACCTTCGAGACAGAAGGCACCCTGAAATTTCTAACTGAAACTCTGATAGCTAAAACTCCAGATGTCTTCCCAGAATTGTCAACAAGTGGGCAATCCACCATGGATTTTCTATTTCTGTACCATGCCTCTCTGACCTGAAATTATTGTTGTCATATATTAGCAATACATAAATTATAACAAAATCTGGTACTTCCAAATGCTAGTTGGTAAATTTTCTCCCCTTCTTTGTGTCTCTGTTTCCTCATCTGTAAAGTGGACAGACTGCAGTCCCTGCTATGGGCACTGTATGTACATGGGAGCATCTTGCTTTTATTCATATCCTCAGTTTACTCCCCTGTTTCCTGCACTACACCCCTGCCTCCGGAAGGACTTAGTACCCCTCATCCCTGAATCCTTCTAGGCTTCTGAGATACTAATTGTCTTTTGACATTTTGGCAAGCCCTCTCTAAGCACTTGACATGCAGATTTCCCAGCCCTCATAACCCCTCACTCAGCCTCTTCCATCTTCCAAAATTATGTTGACTTACTTGCCTATACTTTTTATTGGTTTAGTGGGTTTCATTAAAAAGTATGCATTTTTGAGTCTGCTATGTTTAACCAGAAGTCTCCAACAGAAAATGAAGGGAGGAAGGAAGGAAGGAAGGAAGGAAGGAAGGAAGGAAAGAAGGAAGGTGTTAAAGATCAAAACCAAACTGTCAGTTTTCAAAGACCTGCTAACTTTTTAACTTAATCAAGTACCTTTGTTGGAAAGAGGATTCTACTGTGATATTCTCTTCTCTTTATTGTTGGTATGTGAACTGGAAGGTGAGTGGAATCTGTAACCTGAATCAAGGAGATAAAATTAAATAAAGGCAAGCAGTCCGTATCACCAAAATTTTAAGAATTAAATTATTTCTAAAGTAAGGCAAAATATTTATATGGGTTAGATAGAAGCACAGGAAAACTAAAATCCTCACAGTGCAGAAAATATACTTTAAGAAATTTAAATGTATACCTTCAGTTTCTACAAACAAAATATATGTATAGTTCATATACTTTGTTTCAATTTGGCTAAATTAAAATGTATGTCATATTATGCAGTCTACATTAGAAGGAGAATATTGATCATAAACATATTTGAAGGATACTTTTAATAAGTAGGTATATGATTAGAATCTTCAAAAGCTTTTTGGACTACTTGTCTTATAAATGTAGAAGGGATTTATGACTGCAAGTATGTAAGAATATGTTAAAATTAATTAGAGGGTTCAGTAAGGTTTTGTGAACACTAATAATCTAAAAATATGCTCAGATAATTTAGAATACATTTTTAAATTAGACTTCAAAATCATATAAAATTTAGCTGTCTATATGAAATAAAAATTTTCTTTCCTAAGAAATAATAAAAAATATATTTTGAAACGGAAAGAATTGGATGCTTATAAATGTTAATGGGGAGTAAAGTATTATATAATATACAGCCCTTTCAGATTGGCTTCAACCACTTAGTCATATGCATTTAAGAGTCCTCCATGTCTTTTCATGTCTTCATAACCCATTTCTTTTTACCACTGTATAATATTCCATTGTCTCAATATTGTACCACAGTTTATTTATCCATTCACCTATGAAGGACATCTTGGTTGCATCCAAGTTTTGGCAATTATGAATAAAGTTGCTATATATGTACCAAAGTTTTTGTGGATGTAAGTTTTTATTTCATTTGAGTAAACATCAATGTGCATGATTGCAGGGTTGCATGGGAAACCACCAGACTGTTTTCCAAAGTGGCTGTACCATTTTGCATTCCCTTCAGTGTATTCTTTTGTTATAATGGTTATGTGGGGACAGTTGGTGAATCTTGAAGGGGTCTGAGGATTAGATGATATTAATGTCTCAATGTTAGCGATGATGGTTATAGTGTGTGTGTGTGTGTGTGTGTACATACATATATATATATGACAATGTAGATGAACATTTTTATTTGTAAGAAGTACAAGAAAAAGCATTATTCAAGGTGATGGAAAATCAAATGGCAATTTCAAATAGTCTGAGAAAAATAAATTTATACTGTGCTTGAAATATTTCTGTAAAATTTATGATTGTTTCAAAAAAATTAAACCACTCAGTTGGCAAAATCTTACATTGAAAATATGCATTTCTACTAGACAATAGCTAGTAAATTATCCCATATGTATATAGGCAAGCAGGTCCCAGCAGGCTCATTATAATAAAGAAATTATAATGTGGAAAAAAGGCATTAATTCATCAAAAGGAGCATGGTTATGTGAACCTAAGTATATTTATACACTGGAATACTACACAGCAGTTAAAAATGAATGAGTGGTCTTGACATGAATAAACGGTGTGAAAAAAATAAGTTGTAAAGAAATAGGTCTCCACTGTTCAGTGTTTTTTTTTTTAATCTGAAACAAAAATGGCAACTGTTTTACTAAATTTGTGTGTAGTAGCTATGTAGGTTGTGATAGATTACTTTTTATACCTTCCTGTGTGATGGAAATTAAAATGTTTAAATTAATATTAAAATTTTAAAACAATAAGATAAAATAAAGCTATCAAAATTTTAGAGGTTCTGAGCAGAATTTGAAAACAAGGTCTGGCCTGGCTATAAATCAGACTGAAGTTTTCCAAACCAAACTGCATACCCTTGTGAGGACTCTCTGCCTGCCCCGAGGATTCCAAAGTGGGCAACAAAGCTTGTGCTGCCCAGATTAATCATGGTAAGTGAGATGCAAGGAAGGAAGGGAACAGTATCTTTGAAGAGGGATAATATGGTCTGGGTGACACTAAACCCTTTGACCTCTGGAGAAAATATTTCCTTTTGTAGTGTCATGCCCTCTGAATAACATGAAGGGCCAATAAATAGTTATTTCATATACCATTATGTAGGAGGTATGAAGTTACCTCTAATTTTAATAAGTGCAGTCACAAATGCATTTTAATACCTTACTAATTATATCTAATACCAGACAATGTTATGATGATTACATAAAATGTTCCTGTTAGAGCATGACTCTAATATTAATTAAAGTAAACTAAATAGCAAGGATATTGTCCATTCCAGACCATGTCCCCTTGTGCTTTGCACCACAAGTTTTACTGACCATTCCATAGTTCACTGAATTGTGCCCTCTGCTCTTTTAAATCCTCACTTCATAGTAGGAGCCCATCATTAAGTTCTTTGTTCAAGAAGATTTTAGAATTTTGGTAGAATTTTGTCTTTTTTCACTAATTTTCAGGAACAGTTTTCTCATTTGAGCTTCAAATCTTCCTGTGTTATTAGGTAAACTCAAAATTCTCTATAGACTTTTCCTAAACCAAGCAACACATTTGATTACTAGAGAAATGGCACTATTTCTGATAGGAGTCATTCTCTCTCTGCAAGTGAAAAGTTTGAAAGCAAAACTTCCTCAGGGAGGCATCTTAACTGTGTCCACTTCATCTCCACTGTATGAAGATGGA